GTTGCTGCTGTGATTAGCCCCAACAGCAGCAGCAGCAACGCTACAATTGAGAGACACTCTGAAGCCTCTGCTGCTGTTTGCATTAAATTGTTGTGTGCATAGATTATAGTGTTTAGCAAACCACCGTCAGCAGCAGCAACAGCAGCAGCATCAGCACCACCAGCAGCAACAGGAGCAGCAGCAGCAGCAGCAGCAGCAGCATCAGCAGCAGCATCAGCAGCAGCAAGAGAAATAAATATTAACAATCTGCAGACATTGATTCCTTTATAAGGCCTCTTAAACTGCACGCGAGGCCTTCGCTCGCCCTGCAGTTGCAAAGTTAAAGGGCTTCCAGGAGACAGGCGGCTTGCGAGTGCATCGATATCCTATGAAATAAACAAAATTAAAAAAATAAATAAATAGAAAAGGATATTAAAAAGTTAAAAACAAATAATACAATAAATGTAGTATAATATAATTAAGATTAAAACAACAAAAAGGAAGACAAAAGCATAAAAAAAATATAAGCATCAAATGACAAACACTACAAGAAGAAATGCACAAAAAACAAACAAAACAAAACAAAGAATAAATAAATATAAATGTAATATAATTATAATTCATTTATAAGAGGAGACAGCAGCAGAAAGGAGAGGATAAGAAGGGGCTAAGTAAAAAAAACAAAACATCGCCTGAAGACAACTCAACAAAAAATAATTAAGAAGGTTTGCAGCAGGGAGAAGCAAACGAAAAAGAATTAAAAAAATAATAAACAAACTGCAACAAACAAACAAAGCAAAATAACGCCAAACAAAATAAAGAATAAAGAAAAACACAAAAACACCACCCCGTGGAGGCCTCAAACTCGCCTAAACCCTAAACCCTAGGACGTAAACCCTAAACCCTAAACCCTAAACCCTCAAAACAGTACAATGGATTAGTTTTGCACGCAGATGCACTGCATTGCATTTAAGCTCAAACACAACTCCACCTGCCTATACACCGCAGAAAAACCCTTTAACCTCTCCCCCTAAACCCTAAACCCTAAACCCTACTAAAACCTAGAGGGTGTTATCTGCGCATTATTTGCAAAGCTGTAGGTTGAACCTCTATACGATTATTGTGTAGGGTTTAGGAATTAGGGTTTGGGGTTTAGGGTTTGTATAGATTGAGTATTGAAGCCTCACTTCTGTATACTCTAGCTGTTTTAAGAAGAAGAGGTTTTGCTCAATAGAACATTTACGTTGAAGTGCTGCTGCTAAGAAGCGCAGCAAATCTCTCTTTGCTGCTGCAGGCCCCCCAGCAGAGTGCAGCAAATATGCAGCAGAGACATCGCGAGGAGAAGCAGCAAAGGTAGCACCCGTCGAAGCTCGAAGAGAAGTTAGCACCAGCTGCCACAGCTGAAGAAGAAAAGAAAACAAATTTAAAAATAAAATAATGAAGTGATATACACAGAATACTGTTGCACTCAAACCCTCGGCTGA